AAATTGTTTGAAAAATTAATTCCATACAATTTTATGCATAAGTACAGACATACTTATTTTTTAATCGAGACTTGTGATCAATAAAATTCAATTTAATAAATATATCCATTTTTGATCCACATTGTTTTTAAGATACAGAATTTTTCGGTTAATTGGTTTCCACGCTTAATTGAACCATATGATGGGGCAAAAAATATTTCATAGGAAAATACATGTAAATTTTCTCGGATAATTAAACCCTGTTAATTGATTTTCCCGCTTAATTGGTTCAAATTTCATGTCATCAAAAATAAATTTCCTTTTGCTTTTCACCTGTTAATTGTATAATAATAATTGAAAAATAATCTGCCTTTTTTACATGCATATTTGACATAATTTGTGAAAAAGACTAGGTGGCATCTCTACTAATTTAAAACATATGTTAATTGCCAAGGAAAAACTTCGAGAAAGCGTAATTTGTATTTGACAATGGATTTTTTTTAAATCATTAGTAGTTCGATTTATACGTGATTACTGTAATTGAACAAACTATTCAATTAAGAGGGTTCAGATAATTGGTTCCTCGGTTAATTGAACGAAAATTTGTGCAAATTTTGATGTGCAATTAACCGAAAAATACTGTATAACTATAGATGCTACAACTTATCTTTATGGATAATAGAGTCCCAGCCTCGTGACAATGTTAACAATTCGTAAATATTGCCACTGGACATGTGTTGTACTTACATTTCGATGGAGAATAATTCGATTTAAATTTTGAAAGTAAAATTATGGAAAACTTGGAATCATATGTCGGCACGAGATTACCTTGTATATTTATGACATGGGACTATATGTAAATGCGAACCGATCAAATGTGCTAAACATTGTCTGAGGATAGTTGTGGATTTGTATCAATTTATCGGACTTGTATTGCGTTAGTTATTTGATATCTGAACATAATATATTCGGAAGCTGTATTCATATCTGTACCAATTGTCGCCATTTTCTATAGGATTAATTCTAGGACCAACAAAATGATATGTGCGATTTTTACCAGTCATAATCAACATCTACTAAACATTTCCCAATGTGCGACGGGACGTACAAAAAAATCAAACTTCTCTCTATTGGAAAATTTTGTGTATGGCCGTATATAAAATTAAACCGCAAAACAAAATTGAGAAGTTACTAAATTAATTCAGGTATTTTATAACTTCATAGTGTTATTAGTGCTAGTCGAATGTCAGGTATTGCCGTATATAAAATTAAACCGCAAAACAAAATTGAGAAGTTACTAAATTAATTCAGGTATTTTATAACTTCATAGTGTTATTAGTGCTAGTCGAATGTCAGGTATTGCTCTAAGAAATATAACAGACAATGACTGATGTATGATTTTTTTCCAAGTATTTACTACCAACGTACTGGTGCATATTTTTGCCAAAAAGTTATTTCCCTAATATACGTATGCATGTTTGATAGAAGGGTGTGGAAGGCATTGCAAGCGTATTTTGTGTTTGTTTCTATGTTCGGATCAATAAAGTCGCCACAATCCGGTTGCTGGAATGCTACCACGACAAAGAGAGCGGAGTAAAGATCAATGCTTTGTTCGATCACCCACCAACTAGGAACCAAATTGAAACTGTTTAAGAAACCCACTGAACTGTTATGAGTCGACATAGGAAGGCCGATGAAAAAATTTAAAAAAAATCTGGCCATAATAGAAATTTGAGAAACGACTTCATTGTAACCGAAAAACTTTAAAAGTTAATTTGTGCGATTCCCGAATTACAAGGCGAAGCCCTGCAATTCCTCTTAGGAAAATCTGTGCGTGCATTTTCGCAAAAACCCATACCTCGTTATTGAAAACAAAACATAGGTATTCACATCCTTCATGTGGCTTAGTGCATTTGTTACCGCACATTTAGTTAGAGTTGGAGTTGAACTGAATCTGTGTTGGCCGTCTCTGCGTACTCACACACTGACGGCAAAAAAATGAATAAAATAAAATAAGCGTCAAGCGCTAACATAAGCTAAGGCAAAGTAGCAGCTCGGTTATCGCTTGCCAATTCATAGCCGCATGAACGAGCTATGCTTTTTGTTTGACTAGACCCCAAACAGTTTAGTTACGATTTTGCCAGCGTCAATGACAGTTCACATACTCGCGGCTCGTTTAGTCTTCAGCCAAAATAATAACAGAAAAAGACAAACAGCAAAAACAAAATCTAAATAAGCAACACATACACTGACTCTCGATTATAAATTAATTATTAAAGCGCTCGGTTTCGAAGAGATCGACTGTGAAATTATTTCTTAAGGACAGTGAATTAGGACGATGAATTAGAGTGATTCTCTAATTCAACGACATTTGCTTTGATTCTAATCTGTAAGTATGTGATATAAAGTACTTTGAACATATCGGCGATTGAACCTCAGAGCAGTTTGTGGAGAATACCGATAAACATTACAATACTCAAAAGGTATGCAGTCAATATCGTTACCAGAATCTGAACTACCATCACACCCTGAAAAGCTAGTTATTAAGTCAAACAATCGCACGTTATTACTCAATCGTTTTAAATATATACAGTAGCTCAAAGCAACAAAACAACACATAGATTTTAGTCGTATACAGTCCAGCTGCTTAATTCTGTTTTGTTCGTATATAGTTCTTATTATTTAGTTACCGGCGCTTTCCAGCTCAATTAAGATATAACGCCAACTTAATTCTATCCATATTTTTGCAACAATAGTTGAGCCACTGCAAATGAATGTTCATTGGCATCTGCAGCGAATATCATTATTCTCTGCAGTTCGTTGTGAATGCCCGAATACCCAGCCAGCAAAATGAGCCAAAGTGCACATTTGAACGTAGCTATGGCTACGGCAGAGTCGGATTCATTCATTCTCCGTGGCTACAAGTGGTCAGTTGAAACAATTGGATGTTATGACTTTTCAAGCAGACAATACGAAAACGCCAACTCTAAAGGTCAGAGGATGATTTGTTGATTCGATGTGGCCCCTCTTGTTTTCCATATGGCGTTCGATTGTCGCTTTTAAAGTGCAATTCACCAGCTACGCCAGTCAAGTCGAGTTCATTCGTCTAAAGGTGATTAGATCGAATGATAGTTTGTATTAGCCACCACAGCACCTCCGTCGCGAAGAAGTTTGTGGGCTACAACGATGACAGTTTCACAACAGAGTACTGTGGTTACAGCTGGTCGGATAAAGATAATATGTATTTTCAATGTGCCAATCTGTTTTTTTTTCTAAGACACTCGTGTACATCTGTACACTGCACAAACGAAAAGAACAATAAAATACGCCCAAAACGCAAACGCAAAAAAGTCAAGATAGTAATAATTGCATTCGGTGCTGTCACGTTGATCTTGTCTATAATTTGTATGCCTATATCTTCAAATCATCATCCAGATTTTATGCAGTGATATTCAATTCTGAATTTTGAGTTTGTTGCGTAAATATAAGTGAAACCACGGCATCATTATCCATGGTAGTCTCATGCGGACATATGATTTCAATTGGTTCATAATTTTACTTTTGACAACATTCAGCTTCAAAATTTAAATGAAAATATTCTCCGCACAATGTTTTGATGTTCCCTACTTCTGTTATGTCTAAATATAAGTTGTAACATGTACATATATCTCGAAAACAATATAGATCAACAAATGGAGATATTTATCTTATTGAAAACTGGTCCTAATTAACAAATATGTATGTTAGTAGATAGCATGTATATCTATATGGAAGTATAAAAAGAATTATCCAACATAAAATATTTAATATCTTTTAAGAAATGCATACAATTTTATATAATTTATTTTTCATATATAGTTAGTTAGTTGGCTAGCTAGGGAATTAGGTAAAAATTGCCGTCAGAGTAGGGGAACGTGCAAAACGTTTCAGTTGAAATTCGAGAATTTCATTTGCAATTTTAAACAATTCATTTGTTTTTCAAATAATTCCATACAAAATTCAAATTGTTTTCAGTTACATTTTAAATTCACACAATTTAATTTCGAAATTAGTGTATCATATTTATAATTGTAATAATTCGATTTTTTAAATCACAACTACAATAATTTGGATTATTATGAAAATTATGAATAACATTTGAAATAGTTCGAAATTTGAATGAATTACAATTGGAATTCTCGAATTAACTTTTTACAACGAAATGGTCACCAAAAATTTTTTTCAAATGAAGCCTTGGTACCATGGCTGTAAACTTGGTACAATAACAATAGGTAGGTTAATGGTACCTGCTGATTAAATGCTTTTGCGTGGTGCTCCATTTCTGTCTAACCAATAACTCTATTTGTAGATGTGATGTCTTGAACAAAAATGTCTTTAAAAATACAAACACAAATTAAAAATATTTTAAATTTCAAGTGGATTTGAAAATATATTCAAAATGACCCATATTTTTATAGGAGCCAAAAGTGGTGTGGTGTGATCACGATCGCCGACACAAGGAAACATTAAAGTGTAATTTAGTTTCAAATTATTTTTAATTCTGTTGCAGGGGACATCGACTGAAGAGGCAACACCGATTTTACTCCCACCACTGTATCTGTGTTTTGAGCTAAACTACCAAGACATCTAGGCTTGCGAATCTGACATTAAAAGCCAAAATATCAAAACATCTGAAAACAGAAACATATTCAAAACGACGCGGACACACAATAAGCCAGACAAATCACCTCCAACTCCGACTATTGGAAAACGAGAAAACTTCATGCAGACAACATATTCCAGCACAAAGACCAAGCGGCCGATCGCACAGATCTTGACTAAGAGCTGCAGCAGCAACAGATGCTAAGCAACATCTACAGATGACGCTTATGTAACCAATCCAGGCAATTTACCACTGGCAAGCAAGCAATCCGCCGAAACAGAAAATTACTTTAACTATCTGACGACGCCATACACCGTGTTGATATTTAAGCAATATAAAGGAAACCAATCCACGGCACAGCATTGTGTGCTCATAACGAATGGGGAGAGGAATCTGCACCGATACGGACAGCGGCAATCGGAATGACTTACAGGCGGCAGAGGCAATATGCAACAATGTCAATCAATATATGGCCACGCATGACTCTCAGCAGCACGAAATTAACTTACTGAGTGGCCGTTCTTTGGGCTTGCGACGTCAACCCACCAGGTATCCACACGGCGTTGCAGTTTGCGTGCAGACAATCGCTGATGTGGCAGAGGCGCAGGCACATCACCACCATCATTGTGGTGATTATTCGCGGGCTTCCACGTTGCGGAGCTCAAGTTGGGATGGCAAAGTGGATGGGAAATGTCATTTGGATGGGAGTAGGGCACAACAGAAGCAACAGCAGCAACAACAACAATTGAATCTCAAATGCCAGGTGGTTGGAATGTTCAACAGCCCCGTTGAGAATTTGGCCGAATTGCAGGTGCGCCGCCATAAATACCCTCTCACCGGCAACTACTATCTTGACTCACAAGAAGCTGCGACGAAGACATCGTTGATGACACTTCAGTTCGCAAAACGCTTCTGCAAATGGAGGTACTTGCGATGGCCTTTGATATTTTCAGCCAGCGTTTTGGTATTCTTCGGCCTGATAACCTACAGCATTTGGCTGCATGACATCAGCGTTGCCAGAGAACGGTATGTACAACAGAAAAAACAAAGCTATGAGGATGATGCGATTGAAACAAAAGGGACTGCAAATGCCACGCCCCCTGACAACAGCACGGCCCGGGTAACAGCCAGAGAGCCAGTAACGAAAAGTAGTCAAGTGATGCGAGAATCTACAATAATGCGTACATTGAGCTCGAGATCCCGGAACAGGCCTAAGCAACAAAAACTGTCCACCACAGTCTATGGTTCAACCAAAGGTGCTGGCTCATGGGATAAGCAGCGCAAGGATTTTCATCTCGAATCTACGACAATGGCCGAGGAATCCACAACGATGATTTCGGAAGGGGCGGCTTTTGTCCCAGCAAATGTTTTACGATTTACCTCTGGTCACCAAAATAGCTTTGGTGTTCCTATTGAGGAGGACGAACGCATTCTTCGGCTAATTGACGGAGTACGTATGCCCATTTTCATATATATTATATTCGTATGTTCTATTGACTTCAACGTTCACAGCTATTTCCCGGTCATGTACCCCCTCTAACAACTGCTGCCTATGTTGAATCCATGACCAAAGTATCGCCCACCATTCCGCCGGTGAGGCACAGCAAACCCACCGACCCAATGATGTTGACTGCCACCAAATCAACAAATACTTTGGATAACCGCTGCTACTCAACTTCCCTACAAATGTGTCAGGGTGTTTTGGAATATGATTTGACATATAACATTTCAGGTCACACCATGCCGCCTGACCTCAAGGACTACCAGTTGATGGTAAACTCTAATTGTTCCGCCAGATCTGTCGAATTCATTTGCGCCGTTTTGGAGCCAGAGTGTACACCCACACATATTGGTTTTCTGCCGCCATGTAGGAGGATATGTAAAGGTGAGGTCCAAGTTCATGTGCCTGTACTATCATATATATGGAATGCTTTTTCTTAGCCATTCGTGAAGCTTGCTCTGAAGTTATAGCTAACTCAGATCGTCTGACAGAAACATTCGATTGCAGTTTGTATCCAGACTCGAATGACCCTCAACGTTGCGACGATCCCACCCGGAGGAAGAGTTACTGTTATGACAACGAATTGGAATGTTACGATAACTCCTGCATCCCCAAACAGTGGCAGTGCGACAACATAAAGGACTGCTCGGAAGGAGAAGATGAGGACAATTGTTTGTCATGCGATCGGCCGGACGACTTTCGTTGCCGCTCAAATGAAAAATGTGTACCTGATACCTCACGATGTGATACCAAATATGACTGTTTCGATGGTTCCGACGAGGAGAATTGCAGTGATTTCGACAACGAGGACAGTTCTCGGTTCGACGAGGATGTCATCAATGCTTTCCCAAGAGTATTTTCGTACGCCAGCATTTTCCTTCCAAATCAAACCAACGACAGCCTGTACACATACATAACCGCCACAACAGACGATCAGAATCCGCCAAGCCCACTACAGCTGCACGGTACTGGCAATCACACCATTGGAATATCAAAAGAAGAAGTTACGAATGCGGTGCCATCGGATGGACTAAAGGGTTTCTGTAAGTATAACATACATCATTTAAATTCTCCGAATTTATTTTCCACATGCACCCACAGTCAATTTTCGCGATAGCAAAGAAATCATGATGACCAGTGATTCCGAAAACAACTTTGAGATATCAGCAACACGTGGAAATCGGTCAACGAGCACAACACCCTTACAGCCAGCCGCTTCGATTCTGGTGGCTGTTAGTACCGAGCCCCCTAATGTGAAGTTAGTTCCGGAAGCGTGTGCTCCGCATGAATTGCGATGCGTTAGCGGGAAGTGTATAACGGTTAAACAGCTCTGTGATAAGGTAAGCCATACACATGTATGCGGCGCTCATATCTGTCTCCAAACCAGAATAGTGTGCATTTGTTTTTCTTTAGTTTTATTCCCAGTATCCCTATCAAGGTGGCCGAATAAGGGTTACATTTTGATTTTATTACATTTCCAGATAAACGATTGTCCTGATGGATTTGATGAATTGATGTGTGTCTACAAGGACCGTACAACGACGGCGCGGAGTCGAGGAACCACAATTATTCCCAACCCTTACACAACACTAGCTGGCAGTAACTCCACCCGATCTGATAAACGGACCATTAGAACCACTATAAAACGAAAAATCAAAGTATAGACAGTGAAATTCGTAATGTGTAACCTTGTTTTTGTTAAATATTTTTATTTATAAAATCGGTTGCTAATAAAATCGTCCATAAGAGTAAGGAAAGATTTTCGGAAAAAAATATTACAATAACCCAACCGAATTCGGATAAAATTACCTTGGTAAATTGTATATTTTCTGACAGAAATCTGTCGAATTCGGATAAAATTACCTTGGTAAATTGTATATTTTCTGACAGAAATCTGTCGGAATTCGAAAAAAAATTGGGAAATTCGAAAGAAAATTTTGTTTTTTGAGAGGAATCGGTCCGAATTCCGAATAATAAATAAAGAATTTCTTCCCTTTATAACTCGGGAATTATTAAAGTAAATGCGAAAAATGTAATAGTTTTGGATTTATTGATATGCCATTGCAACACTTTTCACGATATTGACCTCCAAAGTTTATTTTCGTGGAATATTAAAAAAAAATTGGCAATATTGTCCATTTATACACTGCTGGCCAGAACTAAATCAACTAAAATTGCAAGGTAAATATATGTTGCATAACTTTTTCAAAAATAAATATATCGTGTTGCCGTTTTCAGTTCAAAATCGGGTACTTTATTCACTTAAAAAACGAAAAGCATTAATGAAAAATACTTTATAAAATGAATAATTATTTATGGATATGTCTCAAACAAATCAACCCTACAGTACGAACATATGAGCTCTAAGATTCGATTTTATTCAACTATATCAGTAGTGACTTCAGTTCGTACTGATCAACAAGTTGTCATAGCAGTAAAAAATAAGAGTTAAGAGTTCTGCGGGATTTGTCAGACAGTTGTCGTTGGATAGAGCCTTAAGAACAGAGTGTGGACGAGATATGGTAGCAGGCCTACATGCGCGGAAACTATCAAGAAAGTTCTTTATATTTGGAATAGTATACCCAAAGATCAAATTGAGCATCTTTAATGATTCGAGACATTGACGGCGTGCTGCCGTAATGAAAAATAATGGTCGATTACTGGGTTATTTATAAGAAAATATCACAAAGTTGCTTTAGTTTTGACCAAGCAAAAATTAGGTCAATTTAGTTTTCCATAGAATATTTTTTTATTTCAAAATAAATTTTGCGTTTATATTATTTGTTTTCATTTTTATGAATAAATTACATATTTCTCAACAAAACTTTAATTTAAAAAAGTTAAAGGTCATATATTCAGTTTGCAATTTTAGTTGATTTATCAATCGAGATGTAGTCACACGAATTCAATTACGTCTATATTGGAAATAGTGCCATCTTGAACATATAATTTTACAACTATTTTCTATTAATAAGAATCGAATGAGTAGTAAAGGCAAAATACACAAAAACTATCAAATATTTGTATTTTTAAGGTTTTCATTAAGGCTCGAAACTGTTTCAATGCATTACGTACTAAAATACCCAACGTCCGTATTACACAAATACGCAAGGGCCTTGTAAACGGCGAAAATGGAAGACAAGATTTTTTACTTGATCGACAAATTTTTACTTTCATAGAAACACAAATTTTTGTAATGAATAGAATTCTATTTTCAAAAAACGTTTTAACAATGGCTAAAATCAACGAATTAAAGTACGAGTTGCTTGACCACCCACCTTATTCTCCCGATTTAGCTCCCAGTGACTTTTACGTGTTTCCAAACTAAAAAAATCCTTGCTGGCAAGCAATTACAGTTGTAAACCACTATGTTGAATACCTTGAGGAAAGCTATTTTAATCCAGGGATAGAGATGCTAGAAAAGCGTAGGACTAAGTGAATGAAGTTTCAGGAGATTATATAAAAAATAAAAATATTTTTGAAAAACTAACTATTCTATTTCATTGATAGGCTAAGAAGTTTTCGAGCCGCCCTCGTATATTTTGAAATATACAATTTAAATTGCGTCTAAATCGTGTAATAAAAAATCAAAATCATTTGATGCACATCGGGTTTCCGCGAAGTAATGAAGGATATCTTCCAATCTCCTTTTTATACCCTTCACCACACTGTGGTACAGGGTATTATGTCTTTGTTCATATGTGTAACAGGCAAAAGGAAACGAGATAGACACATGGTTCCTTTTGATAATATGCATAGAATCACTTTCTAAGTCGATTTATGCATGTCCGTCCGTCCGTCCGTCTGTCCATGTTAAATTGTAAACAAAGTACAGGTCGCATTTATGATCCGAATTGGATGAAATTTGGCATAGGTCACTTATTCGGCCCAAGGACGAACCCTATTGAAATTGGGAAAAATCGGTTCAGATTTAGATATAGCTCCCATATATATATTTTACCGATTTAATGTAAACGGTCCCTATATATCTTTTGATTTGCACGAAATTTGGTACAGCCTTATCATTTAGGTCTAGAATGATGTCTGCCAAGTTTCATGAAAATCGGTCCAGATTTAGATATAGCTCCCATATATAGTTTCGTCCGATTTCATGTAAATGGTGCCCCAAAGTCCCTATATATCTTTCGATTTACACGAAATTTGGCACAACGTACTGAATTAAGCCTAGAATGATGTCCGCCAAGTTTCGAGAAAATCGGTCCAGATTTAGATATATCTCCCATATATAGTTTCGTCCGATTTCATGTAAATGGTGTGCCAAAGTCCCTATATATCCTTCGATTTGCACTAAATTAGGCATAACGTACTGAATTGAGCCTAGAATGATGTCTGCCAAGTTTCGAGAAAATCGGTCCAGATTTAGATATAGCTCCCATATATAGTTTCGTCCGATTTCATGTAAATGGTGCCCCAATGTCCCTATATATCTTTATACCCTTCACCACACTGTGGTACAGGGTATTATGTATTTGTGCATATGTTTGTAACAGGCAAAAATAATCGAGATAGACCCATGGTTCCTTTTGAGAATATACATAGAATCACTTTCTAAGTCGATTTATGCATGTCCGTCCGTCCGTCTGTCTGTCCATGTTATATTGTAAACAAAGTACAGGTCGCATTTAGGATCCGAATTGGATGAAATTTGACACAGGTCACTTATTCGGCCCAAGGACAAATCCTATTGAAATTGGGAAAAATCGGTTCAGATTTAGATATAGCTCCCATATATATATTTAACCGATTTAATGTAAACGGTCCCTATATATCTTTCGATTTGCACAAAATTTGGTACAGCCTAATCATTTAGGCCTAGAATGATGTCTGCCAAGTTTCGTGAAAATCGGTCCAGATTTAGATATAGCTCCCATATATAGTTTCGTCCGATTTCATGTAAATGGTGCCCCAAAGTCCCTATATATCTTTTGATTTGCACGAAATTTGGCATAACGTACTGGATTAAGCCTACAGTGATGACTGTCAAGTTTCGAGAAAATCGGTCCAGATTTTGATATATCTCCCATATATAGTTTCGTCCGATTTCATGTAAATGGTGCCCCAAAGTCCCTATATATCATTCGATTTGCAGGAAATTTGGCATAACGTACTGAATTTAGCCTAGAATGATGTCTGCCAATCGGTCCAGATTTAGATATAGCTCCCATATATAGTTTCGTCCGATTTTATGTAAATGGTGTACCAAAGTCCCTATATATCTTTCGATTTGCACGAAATTTGGCATAACGTACTGAATTTAGCCTACAATGATGTCTGCCAAGTTTCGAGAAAATCGGCCCAGATTTAGATATAGCTCCCATATATAGTTTCGTCCGATTTCATGTAAATGGCGCACCAAAGTCCCTATATATCTTTCGATTTGCACGAAATTTGGTACAGCCTAATCATTTTGGTCTAGAATGATGTCTGCAACGTTTCGTGAAAATCGATCCAGATTTAGATATAGCTCCCATAAATAGTTTCGTCTGATTTCATGTAAATGGTGCATTAAAGTCGCTATATATCTTTCGATTTGCACGAAAATTGGCATAACGTACTGAATTGAGTCTAGAATAATGTTTGCCAAGTTTCATGAAACTCGGTCCTGATTTAGATATATCTCCCATATATAGTTTCGTCCGATTTCATATAAATGGTGCCCCAAAGTCCCTATATATCTTTCGATTTGCACGAAATTTGGTACAGCCTAATCATTTGGGTCTAGAATGATGTCCCCAAAGTTTCATGAAAATCGGTCCTGATTTAGATATAGCTCCCATATATAGTTTCGTCCGATTTCATGTAAATGGTGCACTAAAGTCCCTATATAACCTTCGATTTGCACGAAATTTGGCATAACGTACTGAATTGAGCCTAGAGTGATGTCTGCCAAGTTTCGAGAAAATCAGTCCAGATTTCTATATAATGGTGCGATTTCATGTAAATGGTGCACCAAAGTCGCTATATATCTTTCGATTTGCACAAAATTTGGCATAACGTACTGAATTGAGCCTAGTGTGATGTCTGCTCCCTTTTATTATAGTGATTTTAAGTAATTGACGCACCAAGGAACCAATAGGAACAAAACGTTCTGAAATTAGTATAACCTAACCTGTGACAAGTTTGTTTGAAATCGCTTAATATTTGTATAGAGCTTCCATATATATTTTCGCCCGATTTCAAGTAAAGTGGGCATCAAACTCTTCATGTTATTCAGATTGACATCAAATTTTGCACAACGTACAAAATTGAGACGTACAGACATAGCCCAACGGATGACCTATTTATATTTGTTTGAAGTCGATTTACATGCTTTATGGATAGATCTAGGTAGATTCACATTTATATAAATATCACATATTTTATTTCATCCAATTTCATGCTAATAGTCCTGTTTAATGTACCCATAGTGGTGAAGGGTATCATAAAGTCGGCCCCGTCCGACTTTACTACTTTCCTTACTGGTTTTAAATTGTTAAATTGTAAACAAAGTACAGGTCGCATTTAAGATCCGAATTGGATGAAATTTGGCATAGGTCACTTATTCGGCCCAAGGACGAACCCTATTGAAATTGGGGAAAATCGGTTCAGATTTAGATATAGCTCCCATATATATACTTTACTGATTTAATGTAAACGGTCCCTA